AAACAGGTGGATGTGTTTTCATCTATTCTGTTCTCAAAGGAATTTTTACTTTTATACCATTGAACTTGAGATGGGAGTGATCTTGCCAGTTCCTGAGATAAAAAGATCAGGCCATTTTTTCTATGATCTCTGAGTATTTAGCATTTCTTAAGTGGCTATAATCTAACAATCATATCTTCTTTAGCCACAGTTTTACTTGCCTTTTTCTGGCCAAACTGCAAGTTTTCAAATCTTTCATGTCTGCTTTCTATTTCTGACTATCATAGTAAACTTAGCTATAAGCTGCCAGCAATATAGGTACCACTCCCTGAATGYTGTGTTACTGTGAAATTCCCTCCACCAGATTAATTAGCCATCACCTTCAAATTCAACCTCACAGAAAATCTCAGGACATGGACAAAATGCAGACAGATTCTTTGTCAGAACATAACACAAATGGCCTCTAATTCCATTTCCAAAAGAGTCCTCCTTCTTCTCCGAAACCTCATAAGCCCTGTCTTTACTGACCACAGTCCTATCAGCATTCAGGTGTAAACTCCCACCAGAATTGCCCATTAAGCAATTCCTACAAGGTTATAAAGATTTTTCAGCTTGCATTTCTAAACTTTTCAAAATTCTTCCCCTGCACAAACTAGCTCTAAAGGCTTCTGAACCACATGGTCAGGTTAGTCACAGTAAGGACTCCACTTCTCAATACCAATTTCTGTTTTAGTGAGATTTTTCATCACTGTGACCAAAAGAAACTGACAAGAACAATTTCAGAAGTCACAATCCATAGACAGTCAATTCCTCTGCTCTGGGCCCAAGTTGAGACAGAACATCATAAGGGAAGGATGTGGAGGAAGAAAGCATCTCAGGACATGGCAATCAAGAAGCAGAGGGTAAGGGAGTGCTTCACTCACCAAGGACAAAATACAAATCCCAAAGTCACAACCCCAGTGACCTACCTCCTCCAGTAACATCCTACCTGCCCAAAGTTACCACCAAGTTAATCTCTATCAATGAACCAATGGGTTATAGCTCTCATAATCTAATTGTTTCACCTCTGAACATTCTTGCATTATCTCAAACATAAGCTTTGGGGGGATTCCTCATACCTAAATCATAACAATGTGAGACAGAGATAGGCATTTCCTCTGTTTGAATGACCAAATGCTATAGCTCTTGCCATGTAAATTTCTGGCAAYGTTGGCATGGCCGTGGGTGCACAGGTGGAAAGAAGCACTATTGGCGAGGAGGTGGGGGGAGGCCATGATATGGCATGACTATACTGAGAAACTCCCTTCCAAGGTACGGGGTCCTAGGAAGGCTTGCCTTCTGTTCAGAATATGCCTAAGGCTTTTCTCTAGGAGCCCATCGTTCATCCCCAAATTGTTGCATGAAATGAACAACACTATGTCTGAGGAGCCCCAAGTTCTAGACTTTGGTCTTCCAATGCCACAGGTGCTACCTTTTCCAGTCCACTTTATCCAGTTACCTTCTCTCCACTTCCATCCTTCAGTATTATTTCTTCCTCAAAACACACGTGCTGATGTCCACACTGTTCCTTCTGAGCCCTCTCCCTCATCCTTCCAACACAAAGAGCAATTCTCCTTGGATTCACATGCACACACTCTTCCTCCTGCCTGACTCCCTCAGCTGTCCTCTCACACATCATTTAAGACCCAACTCAAATACCATCACCCCTTGGAAGCTTTTCCTATACATTGGGCAGGTTTGCCATTCCTCTGCTCGGTTACAAATGTATTCGGGAAACTCCTCTGTTCTCCCCATGGTCACATTGCCCACCATGTTTTGGTCCCTGATGAGTCTCTCTGTTACAGCCTCCAAAGCCATGTAACTGGCACATGAAAATATTCAATTACCATTTGTGGGTAACAGTCATTTGCAGTGTTAGCAGGAGTGTTGTTCACAATCGATGGTCTCAAAAGTATCTCCAAGCCCAGAATATATAATTCTGGAAGGCTCAACCAGCCTTTCCCCATTCATACTTACCCTGGGGGAAATTCTCAAGCCTTGGGCTGTGACACAAGTCCTGAAAATTGGATCATAAATGTCATTTGCCCCAAGAAGTTTGGATCTTTTTATTCTGAATCTAGTGATAGTCTATAAGCCTCACAGCCTCATCTCTGGGGACAAGGGAAGATGGTACTTGCTGTGGGCAGTGCCTAAGAACTGAAGCCTAAAGGTTGCTTATAAAGCCAGAGCCTGAGTAGAAGAGAAGAAAGGAGGCCAGACTCATCACTGACAAGCTGTCCATTAGCAGCAGAGTGGGCTAAATAAAAATGAAATAAAATGAGGTGTTTATGTCAGCTATGTAAGATAAGCAGGGTGGCCCCAGGAATCACTAATTATAATTGGGTCCACTGGGTTGGATTAGTGCAAAGAAATATATTCAGCCTCCTGTTACTCTGATGGTTATATACTATTTCACAATTATCAGCAATTGTATGCCAAGTACCTTTAAGAAGGGGAAAAACATCTTTCCCACTAAATATACTAGATTATGTTTATAACCACAAACACCAAGTTAATTGAAAGTTTGACAAAATTAACTAGCATGTCACAAAATTGAGTTTTATCCCATCCAAATCCTTCCTGCAACAATTACATTCTGGGGGGTTTCTTCCCCTGCAGTTTGTCAAATAAAAATGGCTAAATATTAAAAYACAATTCTCCTCACGTCATTACCACGGATTTACTCTGCTGTTGCAAGATTTCAAGATAAAAGTGATGACAGTCTATATAAAACATTGTTATAGGAATATATCCTTTGAAAGTTGTAATTTAACAGTTTGCTTCTCCGGAATCCACAAGCTTGGGTGGACTCCTGGCGCTCTGGCGCCCCCTAGGAGTCTTGCTTGGAACAAGCACCCATTTCTCAAACTGCAAAGCAATGGCAGGGTTCTTTGTTAATTAAAAATGAAGGAGAACCAAGGGCAAAGATTTATTTTTATCCTCTCCCAAAAGACATTCCTTCTGAGTGTCCCCTGCCCACTAGCCAGATGATAAATCTGGGCAAAATTGCTACACTACCAGTGACCAGAATGGCTTCATGTACAGGCCGGGGACTTCAAAAATCTTTTTTGATACAAAATCCAGCTCTACTTTCAAAGTCAAGGTCTCTGTGGTTATTTAAGGAACAAATGTAACTAAGGGATTTGTTTTGTTTCCTTTAATTTTCCAATGAAATCAGCCCCTATTCTTGGGTATCACAGCAGATACTATGCAGCTACAAAGGAGTGATAGGAGAAAGGAAATAGCAAGTGACAATTGTGGCACAGTTTATTGTAAACAGGGTTGGGCCACAGCCTGAGCACAGTGGGAGAAGAGCTAATAAGAAAATGAAGGTGTTGTGTATTGGTGGGACTGCCATAGATACACTTCTTGTCTTTGGTCTCTTTTCCTTTGTAAAGGCCAAAAGATAGAATATTGTTTATCTATTTGCCATGGAAAAGAGGAACTAAATTATGTTCCCATTCTAAAAAGTGGCTATATATTTACAAAAGATAAATGTATGCTTGTATATAGATAGAGACAGAAAGGGAAAGGAGGTAAACAGAGGGAGAGGGAAGGGAGGGGAAGGGAGTGAGGGAGTAAGTGAGTGAGGGAGAGAGGGAGAGGAACAGAGGGAAATGGGTGGATGAATGCTAACTTCACCTGAAACTGCATGCTGGAKGGGGCAGGAAAAGAGGTCCTGGTTTGCTATTCCTGCTGCAAACTGCACACAGGTCTCCTCTAAAACTACTATCCAGCTCCTGATGTAAGTACACAATTTCAACAACACTTAGGAATGTTCCCTGTGGTGGTCTCACTTATTCCCACTGTTCATCCATAAACTTTATGAAAGAGACACAAAAAGTTTCTCAGTCCAATCCTGGACAACTAGCGTCCTCTGTTGGTCATCTACTGAAGGAGCGCGCAGACAACACCAGAGAGTCGCGCGCTGGAGAGAAAGCAGACAGCAGTCACAAAGACCTCAAGGGCGCGACTGCGCCACGAATTTAAAATCTACTGCGAAGTGTTCAGATTGCGCAGATTAGCGAGAATCCCTGTGCCCATTTGAACGTACAGGGATACAAACAAACCTTCAAAAAGATGAGTGTCAAAATTACCAATTTTAAGGACTACTTGGTTATTAATTTCGTTTCAGCAAAGCTCTCTTTAGTACCTTTAGTTCTTTGGTCGCAGATATAAACTCTATTTGAAAACGTAATGAAACACAAAGCAAGAAAAACTGTTGGGATTTAAAATCTTCGAATCCCTTCTCTTAAAGTCGAATTCGCTGCCAGCCCACTCTGCTGAGGACTTGCAGCAAAGGAGCAAGTGTGAGTCGTGTCTGCTTTGAGAAGCAAGCTTGTAAACCGGTGAAGGMCTCCTGAGCTTCTGCAAAGCACGTATTTATGGCTCCCCGGGGGTTCGAATGGCCCAGCGGGTGCAGATTAAACCCGGCAGCGCTTTAGCTGCCAGAGACCCCGAAGTGAATCAGGTATTCTCATTCAGAAATGTCCCACAACATGCCCTACACAGGATTTAAATTTTAGAAAGCTTTGCAAAGCAAAGAGCGAAAAGTGAAGAGCGAAGCTTGCCAGTTTCCCTGACATCTGTTTGCCGCGGGGCAACCTCAATACCGAGGTGGAGGGGGGAAGGGCGTCGGGGGCGCCGAGTTGGCTGGGAACTACTGAAGTGACCGAGGCACTGCAGTAGCCTGAGGTGCCCAGGTGGCTGTGTAGCCAGGGGTACCGTGGTTCCCGTGAGCAACCGGATGGCTTTGGCGCCKGACACGGGTGACGGGAGCAGGTGTCGGTGCGAACCACATGATGCGCGCCCCCGCACTTGGGCCCCGCTGTAAAGGGTGAGGCGCGGGCCCCCGGAGTCGTGCTCGCGCCGGCCCGCCCCCCTCCGACTCCTGGGCGCGCCGTTCCGGGGCGTGTCCTCGGCCACCCCTTCTCCTATATAGCAGCTGGTGCGCCTAGGCTGCCCAGATGCGAGCGCTGCGGCTAGGTGCAGAGGACCTGCATTTGCTTGCTCAGATCCCACAGCCTCGCACCACTTTCTGTCGCCCAATCCCCGTGTGTTCCGGCTTATTGAGCATCAGGCCCTCGCGGTGGGCGCCATGCATCGGGCGCGCCCCGCACTCTGGGCCACTGCGCTGACCGCACTGACCCTGCTCCGCGGACCGCCAGTGGCGCGGGCAGGCGCTGGCGCGGTAGGCGCGGGCCCCGTTGTGCGCTGTGAGCCATGCGATGCGCGTGCGCTGGCCCAGTGCGCGCCTCCGCCCACAGCGCCCGCKTGCGCCGAGCTGGTGCGCGAGCCAGGCTGTGGCTGCTGCATGACGTGCGCGCTGCGCGAGGGCCAGCCGTGYGGYGTCTACACTGAGCGCTGTGGCGCCGGTCTCCGCTGCCAGCCGCCGCCCGGAGAGCCGCGCCCGCTGCAGGCGCTGCTGGACGGCCGCGGGTTCTGCGCTAATGCCAGCGCCGCTGGCCGTCTGCGCGCCTACCTGCTGCCGGCACCATCCTCTCCAGGTGAGCTGCCAGGGCCAGGCGCACCGCGCGCAACAGCAGGGACCCGATGCGAATGGCTGGGGGGAACAGGATGTGCTGCTATGGGAAACTCCGCACTTCTCATCCAGAAGGTGGTAGTGGGGAAACTGGGGCTCCGGGAGACGAAGGCGCTCGCTAGAGGTACCCTCCGCAGCCAACCTAGAGACTTGCTTCGGTCTCATAGTGCAGAGTTCTGGTAAAAGCGCTTTCAGTGAAACTGGGTAGGTTTCATTGGCGTGGAAAGTGGACACCAAAATTGGCTGTCTGTGGAAAGAGCCTGGGGCTGGGAATGTAGCTCAGTGGCAGAGCGCTATGCCCATCATGCGTGAGTTCGGTTCGGTTTCCCAACACGTCGATAAAAAGGAAAGAAAGGTCCTAAACTCCGGAGATTCTCCTTTCCCAATGCGGAGAAGCAGGTGTGTATTATGTAGCCCAGCTCTGGGACTCGGCTTTCATTCCCCACAAAGTAGAAAGGCTCGGAGGCAGGAACACTGGGGTGGATTTGGATCTGGGGAGCTGGGCAGGAAAGTCTAGGAAGATACCTGTCTAAAAATACTAACATTTGCATACTCTTTGGCTTGAAAAGCAATGTCATGCCTTCTTGTGTCTGAAAACGACTGAGATGGGATTGTGGTTGGAAAACCTGAAGTTCAAAAAGAAGTAACATCTCAAGGTCACCCAGGGGAAGCAGTCTTATAGGTTTGACCCTCATTTGAGACTTTCAGTATCATAACTCTGTACATCCTATCACATCCTGAGCCGGGGAGGCGGTCAGACAAAAGCAAAGGTGTTGGTGCTGCGGGGAGTACAGACCCAGAGGATTTCAACAACTGAGAAGGGAGTTGAAACCAGAGGACTGTTTCTCTTCTTAATGCAAAGAGGAAGGAATGAGGTACAATTGAAGGGAGCCTCCAAAGGAGGAAAAATGCAAATCTTTGGCAGTTCCCCCTTTTGGCTCAGCCACTACCAGGCAGGCGGCAGCAACTCTGTTTAAGGACATCACATTGTTCCCTTAAAAAAAAWTTTTTTTAAATGGATTTGGCAGCTGTTCTAAATTTTAAGCATGCTTAGCCAGTCTTGCTTAGTTATGTGAGGAAAGTTCCTGCCCTGCACAGCTGAAGGCAGGGAGAATTCCTCTCACCCTAGTCCCCCAACTCCACCCCCCCCCCATCATGCTGGACAGATGGTGCTGGGCAAGCCCCCATCCTGGATTAGCAAAATGTACAGTCCCTTTGTAATTTCTGTAGTTGTAGAGTTACACTCTTGGATGAAGCTATTCCCTTGATGGTCAAGGCTGGCTTTATTCATCCCTAAGGAACCCGATTAGAGGAAAGGCAAGATTCCAGTGGTCACACTGGCTCTAGCCAATTGTTAAAGTCTCTGAATGCTCTTCTCTCATAACAATGTTACGTCATTTGATTGTGGACCTTATTGTTCTAGTACATTTGGGGGTATTCAAAAAGTTATCTTAGAAGTGCTTAGAAACAATGTCCTTTTTAGTTAGGCTTTAATGATCATTATGATTTCACCTTTACAGCTGTATAGTATCTATCTGTTGGTTGATGTGGGGTCTTATAAAATTATTTTTTTAAAAACTCASTGACTTCTAAAATTAATTTTGGAAAAAGTAAAGTCATGTAATAGTTGAAAGTCATAATTCTCTTGCTTAAATAGAACTGTTTTCAGGCTCTAGTCTGCAGTCTAAGCATTAAAAGAAACAGAGGAAGTTTAAGAAATTACTCAGGTTTCTTGGAAAAGAAATGCAAATATGTTTATTTACATATCCTTAGCATTTCCATTGTCCCAGTACTCCCTTGGAAAAGGAAAAAGAAACAACTAAGATTAAAGGACATTGAAACTAAATCGATCAATTATGAAACTTTTCTGTCAAATCCTGAACTAGACCCTGGGAAATTTTACTTCCCAAGGCACTAAACACCTTGGGGACCTCCAGGAGCTGTTGGGTAGGTGACACTGAGCCCCAGGGAGGAGAGGGGGTTCCCCCCAAATCTCCCCATTAGCCTGCTAGTGGGAGGACAGAGCAGAGTGTCTGCAGCCCAATTATTTCACCCCTCTGGTAGTTTTCAGGGAACTAGGCTTTTGCTCCTCTGAGCCAAGAGCTAGAGGCTATGGCTGCTTCCCAGTCTCCACAGCTGGGCATATCCCCTGGAGGCAAGAAAAAGTAATGGATTCTGAACCAGTTGGACAATGACCAGCGCCCTGACAAGGGGAAGCATTAAGGTTCTGATTGTGGAAGTAAAGGAATTCCATGACAATCACCTGCAGCTAAAACTGAAACCCCTTGGGGATCAGAGCTGTATACCCACCATACAACCAGCTTGAAAGCATTTCAAGTCCATTTCTGGAAAGGGATAGAATTAAGGATTCTGACTATACATCCAGCACCCATTTAGTCATATACCTGAAGTTTCAGTTAAACTGTTAACRTTCCAGCAACCTTGTCAATTATCGAGCTTTCTTCATTAGCATTTTTAATTATAAAAGGGGAGTTTTCCAGAGGTGGCTTTCTCCTTCATACCCACCGACCCCAAGGAATGAACACTCTTTGGCACTTTGAGTGGGGCTTTGGTGCCATCTGCAACTCTGGTGATGCTGTGCTGACAGGCTGTGCTGACCGGTGCAGAGGACTCACCTAATAATGTGCCCTTGGAGAAGCACAGGGTCAGTGTGGACCTTGAGTTTTAGAGATGGGACAGATGGGAAACAAGGCCCCAATTTGTCTGTGTGATGCTGGGTCCTGCAGCAAGACCCTTTGTTGTAGGTAGAATTATTTTCCCATCAGAGCTGGACAAAAAGTTTATAGCACTGGCAAAGTAGAAGACAGTGCTAGTCAAACTGGAATGAATTTGAGAATTCCCAGGAGGACTTGTTCACACCCAGTCTTATGCCACCATCCATTTTTTCTGGGGTAGAGAATGTAAMTTTTCCCCCAGATCCTGGAGTAGTCACTGCTCCCAGGAGGAGGAAACCATACTTAAAGCTGCCTGAGAGATTTCTAATCAGCTCTGCAGCAACTTCTGTGGTGTATATTCGCCCCCTGCTGGACACATAGAACACTGCTGCTTTGGAGTCTAAGTCTTTGAGGGCACTTGATAAAGCATTTCCCACTTTCAGTTGCAGCTACATAGAAAAAGCACATGGCCAGCTGACTTTTAAACAGATTGTCTCTTGAGGTAAAGCAACCACAGTACGGTTTTTTTTTTTTTAATTTATTTGGAATGGTCGAATAACTTTGCCATTTAGATGAGACCTGATTGTAATAGCAAGATTTTGAAGACTATTGTTCCATATCAACAGTAATCATATCTTTCTCTCCCCTGTGCTTTTCTAGGAAATGCTAGTGAATCCGAGGAGGACCGCAGCACTGGAAGTGTGGAAAGCCAGGCAGTCCCCAGCACACACAGGGTGACCGACTCCAAGTTCCATCCCCCCCATAACAAAATGGATGTCATCAAGAAGGGACATGCCAAGGATAGCCAGCGCTACAAAGTGGACTATGAGTCACAAAGCACAGACACCCAGAATTTCTCCTCTGAGTCCAAGCGGGAGACAGAATATGTGAGAACCTTTCCTCTTAAAGCCAGGAGAGGGGACACCTACCAAGATCCATGAGGGCTGTCTTCACATGACAAGTCCTAATGGTTCTGGACATGTGGGCAGCCTTGCACCCCTCCTAGCACTTATAAAATGTGCRGTGTGCCCTTTAACCTCTGCACAGAGAGATTCTCATAAAGATGGTTTTATTTTATTCACTGGGTACTGTCTTTGGACCTCTTCCAGGTTCTATGTCATATTCTGGGGATTWAAAAAAAGGGGGAGCAATGATTAACTTCTTCATGGGACTTTCTTGCTAACCTATTCAAGAGGTACTGAAGGGACGTATATTATAGGACCCTCCTGGGATGGCTGTGAGATTATTATAATACATAATAGGATTTTAAAGCAATAACCATGCCCCTGTATTTCTGGTACTTTCTAATCCACAGGGTCCCTGCCGTAGAGAAATGGAGGACACATTGAATCACCTGAAGTTCCTCAATGTGCTCAGTCCCAGGGGCGTGCACATCCCAAACTGTGACAAGAAGGGATTTTATAAGAAAAAGCAGGTGAGTAAGGGCCTCTGCATATTTTCTTCCTCTCCTCTTCTCTGTTGGCTCAGAGAAGAAATTGGCCTCAGGTCAACCCCCAGGTTTTTCTGGCCATAGTTCTAACTCTAAGCCATGTGGCACTGGCACTGTGACTTGGAGTCAATCTCAGGAGATGGCACTAAGGGGAACTTTGGCTTGGTGCTCTAAGTGAGGGTTGAGYCCAGATCCAACACTACGTTTTACTGTCTGTTTTAACTACTCACCCAGAAGATACATGGAGGAGCCCTTTATAAATTGTAAAGGGACACACTAACACATTTGTTAATATTGCATCATGGAGTGACATTCCGAATAACTACGGTGGTGAATTTCTAACATGAGGATATAAGATCTGGTATTGACACCTTCCTGGTGGTGACAAGCTATAAAAGGATTAACAAATTTTAGATGTARTTGAACCAAAATAAGTATACCTCTATGGCACACCATGGATCTCAGAAGACCTAAGCAAGCAGAACTGGCCATAGCATGGTCATGTTTGTCATAGTGTTTGTCATAGCAGCCACGTCAGAGAACTTGTATTCTTCCATAGCTATTGCACTTGGGCCCTTATTCACACACTCATTTTCTGCCAATCATCCATTCAGCAGATTTATACTGAGAAGGTACCCTGTGTAATGCTGGGCTGGGGCTCAGAGTCAGTCTGTTATCCTCAAGGCAGAAGGAACATACTCATCTCTCCTGTTCTCATGGAGAGGTTATGCTGCACACACGTGCACATAGACATGTAYACGGCCACCCCCCACACAAGTGACTCTGTGGGAGTCTTGGCCAAAAATTCTGTTATGCTTTCTCAACCCAGCAGAGCCATACAGGGAAAGCCACCTTGTGCCCTTGTTATTGACTTGCCCAGGTTGTTCATGTCTGTCTTCTCTTTCCTTCCCTCAGTGCCGTCCTTCCAAAGGCAGAAAGCGGGGCTTCTGCTGGTGTGTGGACAAATACGGGCAGCCCCTCCCGGGCTATGACACCAAGGGGAAGGACGACGTGCATTGCCTCAGCATGCAGAGCCAGTAGACTCCACTACACCATGTAAGCCCAGGGACTGGGTGGGGCTATGGGGGCCTTAGCATCCCTGGCCCTAGGGCTCCTCTTCCTGGGAGTGGTGGGATAATGAGAGCTGAGCATAATCACTGGCTCTTGCTCAGGTTCACTGCAACTACACCCAGGAGCTACAGCCAGGCCCAGAGAGAGAAAGGCAAGGGGACAGATCAGGCCAACCCAACCAACAACACAGGGAGAAAGGCCAGAACCAGGGTGGTCTCAGACACTGTGCTTTATTTTAAATAGTCTACAACATGAAATCTTCGACCCATGCACAGCGTGAAGGCTTTTCAAAGTGAAGCTTTCTCCTTGGAAGTCTGATGATTCTTTATCTTCACATCAGGGAAACTGTTTTCATCCACAAGAACTTGTTAAAGACCCCAGTTTCTAAATTAAAGATGTGGCTAATTTTTTTTTTCCTATAAATATACTGTGAATATTCTCAGTCTGTGGTTAATATAACTTTAAGAAAACTTGTTTAATATGAAATTGGAATTTTAAGCCATCATTTTGAAGAATGCTATTTGATATTCTTTTTTCTTTTAATAAGTAAGAGAGTCCTTGTGGGGGGAAATAGGAATAAATGTATTGTTTTTATCTCCTCAAGACATTTAGAAAGCAGTAGAAAGTTTTATGTTTAGTTAGTTTATTTTTTTCCCTTGGAAGTTAGAAAAGTAATCATTCTAATGTTAGGGTTAACATTTTCCAACTCTGAGCAACTTATAGTGTTCTTTGCTTTCTTGAAAGGTAGCAAGTTGACCCCAGTCCACTGCATACACCACAACACCATTTATCTGGGGCCTGTGTTTGCAAATCCCCAAGCAAGAGTTGTACCCTCTTAGTTTTTCAGGTGATTATACCAACATATTTCTTTTCTTTTTGTTTCAGTTAAWGTGGAGCTCAAATACGCCTTATTTTGCACAACAGACTGCCAACGACATGATCAGCAGCTGGCTACAGCCTCCATTTATATTTCTTTTGTGGTGAACTGATTTAAAAAAAAAAAATAGAAAACCAAAGTTTAGACAGGTTTTTTTTTTTTTTTTTTTGAAATGCCTATGGTTCCTTTAAATGGTAAACTTGAGCATCTTTCCACTTTCCAGTAGTCAGCGAAAAACAGTTTGAATTTCTCTGTTGCTGCCTATAAAAGTACTCACACGCTCATGCACAAGGCTGTGGACTTCTCCCCACCTGGAATTTTCACCGTGTGTTTGCTGAGGCGGCCGACCCTCCGACTTCAAGACTGTGGTGGCTGTGTTGCTTAATGTAGAGAACACACTTCATCCCCACCCTCAAGAGTAGGAAAACCCCTAAACCCCAGTCACCTGGACATCCTGGCGCATCCTCCTGAGGCTCACATCCCTCTGTGTTGCCATCTTTGAGTCAAAGGCCTGGTCCCTCAATCATGAAGATCATTGCTTACTCTCTGCCAGTGACCATATCTGCTTGGGAACTATTGCAGAGTATAAAGTGGAATCTTTAAAAAAAAAATGACCAAGAATGCTCTAGGGAACTCTGGGAACCTATAAAGGCAGGTATTTTTGACCCTCCTTTGTCAGGCAGCTTCCTGAAGATGTGGCCCAGTGGAAGGCCCAGGATGGCCATTGCTGTGGCCCCCGTAAGGCAGGAAGGGCAAGGGTGGTGAGCCTCAGCCTCCGTGTTCAACAGCATCATAAACAATGACAGGATTCTTTGGATGACTGCAGAAAATAGTGTTTTCTAGGTGAATTCCTCAAAACAAAATTTWTTTTTGAGGAGAGTTTTATTGTTATCTCTTTATCCTTCTTGGTACAAGGTAAAAAATAAAAATACTCTGTAGACGGGAAAGATGAACGGCTTGTTGGGGAGCCTATCAAGGACACTGGGAACACATAGAGACTCAACCTGTGTTTGTTGAACTTGGAGTTCTCCTACTTTCTTTATAATTAACACATATATTCAGAAAAAAAAAATACATTCTTAATAATTGTTAACATTGTATACAACATAGCCCAAATATAATAGGATCTGTACTAGATAATCCTAGATAAAATGTTAGAGATACTAGATGATTTAACCACGGCCATGACCGAGGAAAAGAGCTCGGGTCCAGAGGCCGGGCTGTTCCCCCCAAGGCCAAACCATGGAGGTCTGGCAAAGATGGGCAGAGGGACTCTGCCCTGCCTGCCATGGTCCTGGGGGTGGATGCACACTGCACAGATCTCTCCTTGAGAACACAAAGGGGTCTCAAGACATTCTGCCTACCTATTAGCTTTTCTTTATTTTTTTAATTAAGTTTTTGGGGAGAAAAAGTATTTTTGAAAAGTTTGTCTTGCAATGTATTTATAAATAGTAAATAAAGTTTTTACCATTTAAAAAAAAAATACCTTCTTCCCCTTGTTATTGACCGCCTCCAGATTTTGCATCATGATAGAAATGACTCTTGAGAGGGTAGACTATTCTAGACTCAGTAGAAGACTTCTTAAACATGTTGCTCTGTCTCCATGGCTAACAAAAGACCCCATCAAGAGAGCTCCACTGGCCTTCATTGGCGTCCATTTAGCACTGGGCCACATCTGAAAGAATGTCCAGTTCTGGGAGGTTGTGATAGTGGCTGTCACTGTGTGGGAAGGTCAAAGAGGTCAGCAGATGTGGTCTGTGGATTTCTGGTTCTTGTATTTTGGGATTGTGCCCTGTATTGTCTTAAAAGCAGCCTCCCTAAGCCATGCAGGCCGACATATGAGAAAGACACTCCCCCAACCAGCCCCATGTCCTTTTCCTGCGGCTCTTTTACCAATGGTCTCCTTGGAGGGACAAAATGGACAGAGGCAGGAAGAAGAGGAGGGTCCCCAAGAGATGCTAGGAGGGGTTCTGAGATCTCAGTCCCCTGTTTGCAGCCTTGGAACAATTGTCTCTTGTCACAGAGCAACTTGAAGAAATGTACTGAGCCCTCAACTTTAGGGCATTGGAGGACAAGCTGCACATCAAGGAATCAGCTGTTCAAAGCCATGTCTGATCTGTCAATAAAACATCTAAAATGGTTCCAAAGTCAGAGTTGTACATAGTGAGCAAAAATTTGGTTCTGGGGGTGTTCAGAGGTTTGGGAGTGTGGAGTGTAGCCATGGAGTTGATCATGTGAGAAACCAGAGAAAAATGAAGATGCCGACACCCTGGGGTGCTAAGCTTGCAAAGCTGCAAAAATGGAGGGAGCCAGTAAACAGAGTGAGCTCACCTGGGGGTGGGAGAGACTCAGAGACCATGGAGTATACCTTTGCAGCAGGCCAGGCATCTAGGGATCCAGGGCAGGAGTTTGGCAGGGCCTTCATTGCCACTACAGAGGTAAGAGCCACGTAATTATGCTTTTTCTCTCTGCTCCCAAGTACTTGGTATTGAATAAGGAACTATATTCCCAGTTCTTTTTTCTTTCTTTCTTTCTTTTTTTTTTTTTTTTTTTTTTAGACACGGTCAAACTCACAGTCAATCCTCCTGCCTCATTTTCCCAAGTTTCTGGGATTATTACAGGTGTGCACCATCCATCCAATGATGGTTCTTTAGAAGTCCACAGGGCTTTCCTCTCTGGAAGGCACACAAGTTAGTGGCTTCCTTGTTCTCACTCCTTAACCTCTAGCCTCTGCTACTTTCATACTTGTGATGGTCAGTCTATGCATCAGCTTGACTGAAGTGTCCAGATGAAATGTCATTTAAGGGTATGTCTGCAACTGTCTCCAGATGACAGGAGGATTTGAATCTGTGAGTTCAATAAAGCAGGTTATATGATTGGGCATCATCTAATCCATTGAAGGTCTTAACAGAGGAAGAAAGAATTTGCACCTTTTTTCCTGCCTGCTTAGGCCATATACTCTCTGCCCCTCGACTGGAACGCATATCACCACATTACCAGTTCTCAAGTCTTTGGATTCAAGACTTAACTCCACCTCAGTTTTCCCAAGTATACAGCTTATAGATGGCAGATGGTGGGACCCCTCAAAGCTTGAGCGTGTAAGTCAGTTCTTCATAAAAAATAACTTTTTAATTTTTTTTAGTTGTAGTTTAACACACAACCTTTATTTTATTTATTTTTATGTGGTGCTGAGGGTTGAACACAGTGCCTTGCATGTGATAGGCAAGCACTCTACTGCTGAGCCACAACCCCAGCCCCAATAAATAACTTTTGGTAAGTGATTAGATAGATCGATGATAGACAGAAGATGACTTATGGATAAATGGATATAGAAAGATGATTGATAGATTAATACAAAATCAATGGATGATTGATGGATATAGATACAGATCATAGATGTTTGATAGATAGATAGAAGGAGCTAGATGGAAGGGATTGACAGATGATATATTGTTAGATGATAGAAGATTGAGAAAAGATAGATGTATAAATAGGCACTTAAAGGATAATTGATAGATGATAGATGACCAAAGGATGATTGATAGATTATAGAGCTGGAGTTGTAGCTCAGTGGTAGAGTGAGAGGTCCTGCTTTCAATACCCTATACCAAAAAATATACAGATAGAGATAGATAAATGATAGATAAATATAGATAGACAACAGATACACAAGAAGATACATATGTACGTATTTACATACATGGATGTAAATTATTGGTTCTGTTTCTCTGGAGAACTTTGACTAATCCAACACCTTTGGTCATATCTTCTAAATATTCTCTTGCCACTTGCAGTAAATATGGAGAAATTATACCCACCTGGTCCTCCTCTTGCCCACTGCTCCTCTGCCTCCCAGCTGGACCCTGGGAAGCCCCTCTGCCCCGCTGCCTTCTCCCCCAGCCACCTTCTGCCCTCTCAGGCTTTAAGGTCCTGTGCCGCCCACCCTGTTCACACAGAAATGGAAAGCTTTTGACACCCTGGAGTCAGGGCAATGCAGAGGCTGTGTCAACAGCCTCTTTAACATTGACACAGCTTCTAAACTGATGGCAGAAATGATCCTAATAGCATCCTCAGAGGAGTGCCCAGGAAAGAGTAAGACATTAAAAAAAAAAAAAAAATGAATCCATACCAAGGAATATTTTGCCCTGACTGAAATGTTTTTGAAAAAAAAAAAAAAACTTGATACCATGGAAGAATGTTTGTGGCAGGCTAAAAATAAAAGCATAATGCTATTAAACTGTGTAAACTAAAAGGAAATACACCCAAATGTTAACCCTGGTGACGTGAATAGAGATCATGTCCTTATTTTATTTCTACTTCATTATAATCATAACAATTTCTGTAATAAACATGATTGTACTTTTTTATTCAGAAAAATAAGTGGCATTTTTTTAATGCCCCTGCCTTTAGTTTGAATCTGAGCAAAGAGCTTTCATTTCCTTCAGCCCCCCGGGCACCTTCTCCACAACTCAGATGGTTAATCTGAGTTGTCAACTTGAACAAATTCAGAGGTGCCTAAGGTTAAAAGGCTTCTTGGTGTGTCGGTGAGGGTGTTTCTAGGAAGGTATTGGCATCTGGGACAGCAAACTGAGGAGGAGAACCACCAGAAACATGGGCGCACATTCCAATAGGTTGGAGACCTGCATGGAATAAAAAGGTGGAAGAATGAGCAGCCAAAGCAGATGCAAGCTCCATTCTTCTTGAGAATTCTACTGCAATCATTCACCTGAGAATGTTGGACTCCAGCTCCTTCACTCTTTCAAAGAGAAAGTGGACTCTGACCAGCAGCTCACCAGGAAATTTCCAGACCTTCAGTTCCAGATTGGACCTGCATCATTGTGCCTCATTAATCCCTCATGTTCTGAGGCTCCAGCTTCTTGAACTGAGCAGCTACTCGTTCTTCCAGCTCTCCAGCTGGCAGACGGCCATTGTGGGACTACCCAGCTTCTGGTGGTATAAGCCCATCTAATAAATATACACACACGTATATGTATACATATGTATTGAATGGGTGTGTGTGTGTGTGTGTGTGTGTGTGTGTGTGTGTGTGTGTGAGAGAGAGAGAGAGAGAGAGAGAATATCCAGAGGCAGGAGCAGGTATAACTGTCAGGGAGACCTGGGTGTGGAGCAGTTCTGGAGGGAGATGGGGCTGAGGCCAGACAGCAAGCTGTGATCTCTGGTGTTTGCTTCTTTGATAGCTTTAAATGGTGTTTTACCAGCTGATCAGGGACTCCTCAGACACACTTACCTTAGAGCACACCCCATAACTCCTCACCTTCAGAGCTGGGGCTTTGAAAAGTAAATCCTTCATTCCCTCACTTAAAATTGCTTCCTAGCATAACTTCTGCAGGGCATACCCTAGTTACCTTCTGTGGGACTTGGACTGGTTTGGCCTTTCTACCTTCCTAGTCTCATTTCCTCAAAACCAAACAGGTGGGGTGTGTGTGTGTGTGTGTGTGTGTGTGTGTGTGTGTGAGAGAGGGGGGGGGGGGGGGGGGAGGGAAGGAGGGAAGGAGAGAAAATACATCATAAAAAGTTACTTTTACTTTTTTTGTCTTAGGATATGCTTTCTGAAGACCCAATCTAAGCCACAACATGTCTATTTGCAAGAATGTTTTAGTAGCACTGCTGACAATTTTTTAAACCTGAAAACAACCTTATTCACATTAACAGGAGCCTGGATGGATGAGCAGTGGTATTGTGCAAGAGGGAAGGGCCTTTTGAAGTCTAAATGAATGAACAGTAGGCCCAAACAACAATGCAGATGATACACAGTTTTGCAGCATCAAGTTTAGAAATCAAGTCCCTAAGGATCACATTCTACAAAACATACTTTATAAAATGTTAAAAAAAAACCAAGTCACTGAAAATAAAAACATACTTTGTAAAATAGATACAGATGTGATACAATTAAATGAGACTGAAATAATAAGTGATTATTGCCAGAATTTTAGCTCTCAGGTCACATGGATCATTATTACATTATTAAAAATGAGTGTCAATTGTGGATCAGTAATGAGTGTGAGTTCTAAACCAAGGATTCTAAGCTGGGCATGGTGGTACACTCCTGTAATGCCAGCAACTTGAGAGGCTGAGACAGGAGGATTGCAAGTTCAAGTCCAGCCTTAGCAACTTATCAAGGCCTTAAACAACTTGTTGAGAACCTGACTCAAAAAATAAAGAGGGACGGGGATATATTTTAGTGGTAATGAGCCTCTGGGTTCAATCCCTGGTACCAAAACAAAAACAACAACTACAAAAACAAGGATTATGATAAATCATCCCAATTGATGAAAGTGTGTTCAAAAGAGAATAGAGAGAAGGAGAGAAGTTGGAATTAGCAACTACTTCTAGAAGTTGATTCTCTGTAGACTCTGATCTGCCTCTTTTCCACCACACTGAGGCTCTTGACCCTCCTCTTCTGACCTTG